CTCTCTCTCCTTTCCCCTCTCTCTCTCCTTTCCCCTCTCTCTCTCCTTTCCCCTCTCTCTCCTTTCCCTCTCTCTCCTTTCCCCTCTCTCTCTCCTTTCCCCTCTCTCTCTCCTTTCCCCTCTCTCTCTCCTTTCCCCTCTCTCTCTCCTTTCCCGTCTCTCTCTCCTTTCCCCTCTCTCTCTCCTTTCCCGTCTCTCTCTCCCTTGCCCTCTCTCTCCCTTCCCCTCTCTCTGTCCTTTCCCGTCTCTCTCTCCCTTCCCCTCTCTCTCTTTCTTCCCCTCTCTCTCTCCCTTTTCCTTTCACCCTCTTTCTCCCTCCCTTCTACTCTTCCTTCCTTTCTTTCTTGCTTTTCTTCTTTTATGGAAATTAACAGTGAAGTCCCCCAATGTTAGGGGCTGTGGTGGGGAATGGGAGGGGCTGAGGAGGCAGAGTTCAGGGTGGGTCAGTTATTGGTGGCAGCCATGAGGAGGAGAATGCCTGAGGAGAGAGAAGGAGTGACTGCTGACCAGTCTAGCGGGTCAGAAGCCTGTGAGCCTCCCCCTCCCCATTCCTTCTATCTCTTCTTGTCCTCCCAAACTCCTCTTTTCCTCCCACTCCTGGCCATTCTGCCCCCCTCACACACACAGCCCCGTCACCTTCAGTGATGCTTGTCATCTCATCCCACATCAGGACAGTTTTTGGACCTGTGGGGTGCAGATGCCCACAGGCCTGGGGGTCCCTCAGAGCACCCAAGCCTCTCCCATAACTAGGCGTCCCTGATTCCTACAATGCTTTGTCCTCCAGGGACTCTGAATTGCCCCTCAGCCCCACTGGAGCCACTGTCCGTCTCCGCTGAGGTTCCAGGGCCTGCTGCAGCCCCCAGCGCTCCCCATAACAGCTACAGAGAGGATAAGCCGAGTTACCCCACGCCTGTCCAGGACACCCAGCCGCCAGAGTCTCAGGAGGAGGTGCGTTCTCACCATCTGCCTTGGGCCACCTGCTCTCTTGTTCCTATCTGCCCACTCCTGCCTACCCAGCCTTCCAGAAGCCTCCCCCGACAAACCAGACCTAATGTCTAAACCCCAGAGGATCCCCCTGTGGAGCTGCCCAGCCCAGCTCCTAGGCCCCTGACCAGGCCTTCACCCCGTGGCAGCCCTCAGCCCTCTGCCAACTTTCAGCCAGCTGCCGTGAGACCACAGTGTTGAGGTCTTTGCAATGGTCTACATGAGATGTTGAGCTGGGTTAAGAGACCTGGGGAATGACCAGATGAGGAGAGTGAGGAGCAGGAGGTGATGGGACAGGGGGTGGATGGGGAGACTGTTCTTACTGCTAGCAAAGTCACATTTAGAGGAGGATGACTGATTCTATTCGGATGTGATGAGTGGGCAGGGGGTGTCCAGGAAATACCACATGGTGGACCTGAATCCCAGGAAAGGGGTCTGGGCAGTGGCCACAGAGAGGAAAGCCAGACAGATGGACAGGGAGTCCCCACGGATGGTGTGTGTGTTTTCTGTGAAGTGGGTGCAAGGTCCCCTGCGGACAGGGTCTGCAGTGACAGGGCTGAGTGAGGGCTCCCTCGGTCCCTGTGCTCCATGGCATGGGCAGAGGTCTGTAGGAGCTGGCCTGTGAGCATAAGACCCTTTACTGCTCCTGGGAGAAGTGGCTGCCTTTTTCACATTTTCCCTCTTGCAGAGATCAGAGGAAGCCCTGCAGACACCCAGCTCTGGGGCTGTCCCGAGGAGGCCAGGTGGGCCCCAGGGGCCCTCCTCTGACCTGGCGGCCCTCAGCCCTCCGACCTCCAGCAGGCATCAGGAGCAGGACACAGACCTGGACAGCACCCACACAGCAGGTATGCACGGAACCAGGAGGTAAAGGGCCTCTCTGACCTCCCCAGTGAGGCTGAGGATTAGAGTGGCCCCTCTGGCTTCCTTGGACAGGAAGCAAGGGTTAGAGTAAAAAGAATTCACCCCAGGGAGCAACCTGATTCCTCAGAGGAAGTATCAGTATTGCTGCATAACCAACAACTCCAAAATTCAGTGGCTTAAAATACTTATGATTCTATGGATCAGGAGTTGGGGCTGACTCAGTTCTGGTCTTGGCTGGGTTCCTTCTTGTGTCAGTGGTCAGCTAGGTATCTCTGTTCCTGGCTTTTGGCTGGGACACCTGGGACTTTTCCACGTGGTCTCGCATCTTTCAGCAGTCAAGCCCATCTCTTGGCAGCTGGGCAGAATTCTGAGTGGGAGGGAGGGTTCCTGAAGCATATGCTGAAAATGGACCCAGTCACGCCTGCCCGGTTGTGTGGGCCAATGCAAGTTACAGGCCAGCACAGATTCGAGGAGTGGAGAACAGACTCTATCCTTAGATGGGAGGGCTGACAGTCACATGGCCGAGGGCATGGATACAGGGAGGAGAGGAGAATTAGGGCCATTTCTGCACTCCACCAAAGGGACCTGCCAGGACCTGGAGGACAGTGGCGGAGGCTCAGTGGGGCAGGATCAGCCAGGACCTGGAGGACAGTAGTGAGGGGTGTACAGGGCTGGGCCAGCTGTGGGCAGGGGAGCCTTTAGGCACTACCCCACTCCAAAGAGATCTCCAGCCCCCAGCATGTCACTAAAACTTCTCAGCCCATAAAATTTCTCAGTATGATCTTCATCAGCCAGAGGCCTGGACGCCGGCACTAGACCTCAGTGCTCCCCCTCAGGAGTATACAGTTGTTCCTCCTAACCTTCCAGGCTGGCTGGCATCTCTCTGCACCACTACTTCCCAAACTATTCTACGGGACACTGGTGCCCAGCCAGTACTCAGTGCCCCTGGGACAGCCACAGGGTACATGAGCAGTTCAAAGCTTGGAGAAGCTATCTTAGTGCCCCACACTCCTGTCTCCCCAAAACTTTTCTGCAAGGACCCATTTGCACTTTGCAACATTAATTGCCATGGGACACCTTTCGGGAAATGCAAGTGTGGACCAGGGAGGCAAAGGACACCTAGGTTTTCATATGTTCCTGGATGCAGGCTCCCTGAGGATCTGTGGTGTTAGATTGGGGTATCACGTCAGAATCACCCCTGGCCTTTGTCAGCCGTAGGACCTGGCCATGTGTGTTTTCACAGAGTCCAGTGAAGTCCAGATCCCCATGTGGCCATCTTTATGAACTATCACCACCTGCCACCTGCTACCTCCTGCTCCCCCCAGGGCAGGCCCTCCTCCCAGAGGTGGCCTTGTCCCTGCCTCTCCCCTCCCCCAAGCCCTTAGGCCTCCTAGGAGATTTGCACACACTGGGCCGGCTGGGCCTCTGGTGCCCCCGTGACTGGTGTGAACTGGTCTGCTTGTGCCTCCTGTTACCCCCTGCCTGATCCAGATTGCTCTTGCTGCTGTTGGTGGGAGGAGGAAGGACAGCAGTGGGGGGCGCCGCCAGGATTCCAGCAGGCTAAGAAGATAGAAAAGGCAGACACAGGAGGAAAGGAGGAGGTCCCAGGCAGAAGAAAAAACAGAATAATTAATGATGATCTTCACACTCTTAGGGGCTATGGGGGGGGCCCATTTCACTCCTGTGGGATGGCAGCAGGTCAAGGAGTGAGGATAGACAGAACACAAGGATGTGCTTGCAGGCCTAGGAGAGGTATCCAAAGGGGCTGTGGAGCCTCCCCCACAGGCAGGAGACTGGGAGGCCTGGCTGCTGTTGGGGTGGTGTGACCGGGGACAGAGGGACCCTTCTCTAGCCCTCTGATCCCAGAGTAACTGTATTTTAGGAACAGTCCTGTGGGTTTGTATTTCCACTGTTGTTTTGCCATCTGCAGGTGTGGTCTCCAGCCCCCTGTCACCCCGTGGGCCTGTGTCTCCGTCAGTCTCCTTCCAGCCCCTGGCCCGCTCCATCCCCAGGGCAAGCCGCTTGCCTGGACCCCCATTGTCATCTCCGTCCACTGGTACCTCCTCCTCCTCCACACCCACTGGCTTGGCTTCTGCAGGAGGTGCTGGTGACCAGGCCAAGGTTACCATCTGCTCCAGTGAGACAGGGGTGCCCACCAACCCTGTGACCACCAGCACAGCACCCACCAGAGTGCCCACCAACTCAGCACGCACCAGCACAGCACCTTCCAAGTTGCCCATGATGCCTGTGAACACAGTGCCATCCAAAGCGCCTGCCACCTCGACCTTTGCCAGCACAGCACCCTCCAAGTTACCCACCAGTTTGAAGCCCCCTGGTACAATGCCCTCTAACGTGCTTCCATCCAGGTTGCCCACCAACTCAGTGCATGTTGGCACAGTGCCATCCAAAGCGTCCACTGGCTTGGGGTCTGACCACAGGATGCCCGCTAGTGTGGTGCCCAATGAGGTGCCTGCCAACACAGTGCCCACCAGCAAGAGCAGCAGCAGACCAGAGGTGAGTCCTCGCCCCTCCTAGCAGTGACCCAAGCCCCTTCCCCCTAGGAGAGCTTGCCCTCCTGGCCCTGTCCTTGAACCCTCCCCCAATCCTTTTCTGTGTCCAGCCTGGCCTAGTCTAGGGCCTCTCCTTGAGGGTGTAGGGACAGCTGAGAACTGGCCTCATCTAGAGCCCACCTCATGTTCTCCAGGAGTAATAACAGTCATTAGAACTTCTAAGTGTGGATGCCTCGAGGGTGTCAGGCATGGTGGGGCACCTCCACCGTTCATGTGCATTAACTCATTTAGCGCTCACAGCTCCCCATTAGCCTTAGCAACCCCACTTTGCAGATAAGGAAGTGAGGGTCACTTGAGAGCAGCCAGCGAAGGGTAGAGTGGGTGGTCTGCCTGCCTTGATGCCTTGCTCTTCACCACCAGGATGTCTGGCCTGCCCCTCCATGACCAGGGCCTAATGGGTAGCAGCCCAGGCCCAGCCCCCCACAGCTGTCCCCTCCCAGCCCTTCCCCTAGTCCTACTGCTGCCATCTACCTGGAGGAACCAAGTCTGTGGGGCTCCCTAGGTGAATGGCCGGGCCTCTGGCCCTACAGAATGTTAGTGCAAGATGGGGCCACACCCCACCAAGGGCTGCTGCAGGGCCTTGGTCCCCTTCTCCTCCACTGCTTTCTATAACACCAATGAGTTGGGTCCCCAAGAGCTAGTAGCCCCAGGGCCATTATAGGCTGGGACTGGGAGGGTGCAGTACTAGTTCATTCCCTGGCTTAGGGGTAGGGCTGCCCAACCCGCTTGTCTCCAGCCACTACCCCCACCTCCCATCCCACCCAGCACCTTCCTCTCTTTCCCAGGAGACCCCAGCGGCTCCAGCACCTGCAGGCACTGGAGGCAGCTCTCCTTGGCCAGACAGCAGTTTGGAGACCGTGGGCTCAGAGCAAGAGCTGACCAAGCCAGGGGTGCTAGTATCCCGGATAGACAGCCAGCCGTTCTCCGGCTCCTCTGAGGACCTAGCCATCAGCCGCAGCTACTCCCAGGACGCAGGGCCCAGTAACATCCCAGAGGAAGACGAGTATGTGTCCAGGTCCACGGACTCCTTTGAGATCCATGTGACTGAGAGCCCCACTGCTGACCTCCTGGATGGCAACCCTGGATCACGTGCCGCCCCACAGCCCCCGGTGCAGGAGATGCCGGCCATCACGGTGGTCTGGGCTCCATGGCTCGGGGCAGCTGCGGCTGCGGCACTCATGGCCACAATCCTGACCGTGCTGTACCGGCGGCGCCTACTCCATTGAAGCCCCTCGGGCCCTCTCCACCACACATCTGCTCCCTTCCTAGCAGTACCCTGGCCTCCCTCTCTGGAGCAGGCCTGTCCAACCCCCTTGTCCCTTTAGCCGGGCCAGTGGGGGTGGGGTCTGAGGGAAAGGAAAGGCCCAGTGGGTGGGAGACAGGGTTTCCATCCCAGCTAGTGGTCTCTATGGGTCTTGCACCATCCTTGGCTTTCTGGGCCGTGGGCTGCCCCTTGCACTCTAGACCTGCTCATCCCTGTTTGTCCAAGCCCATGGGTCAGGAGATCCAGCACCCCCGATCCTACCCATGTCTCCAGGAGGCTGAGGGCAGGTATACAGGATGGGGACACACAGGGGGCCTGAGGCTGTGCACTGGAGTGGGTGGGAGGGCCAGCATGGCAGATCTCCTGTGACTGGACTGCTTTGGGTCCCCTGCACCTCCTGGTCTCCACCAGGTCATCCAGGGAGCTTCAGACGTTCCCTGGAACCCTGTAGGCAGCTGCCAGGCCTGAGGACCACCTCCCTGAGTCTGTCTCCAGCCCTCACCTCCATATCCCGCCTCCTCGCCCGTCCTCCTCCTCCTCTGTCCCTCCCTCCTGGCCTCCGTTATTTTCTTCAGCACTCTCCACAGGTTGGGGAGGGGGTGCCTGGTGGGGCAGAGGTTTGGATTTCCATTCTGCCCCTCCTGGGCTGTGTGGCCCCGGCAGGCTATCTGACTTCTCTGGTTTTGCCTCCTGATGTGCACTGTGAGTATCACTGGGTTCTTCTGAGATTGAAGCATACACTGTTTGCTAAGTGCCTGGTCCAGAGTGGGTGGCCACCTCTCCCTGCCAGCCAGGCGGAGATGAGGGCATGCGGTGCAGGACGCACAGTGGACAAGTGTGATTCTGAAGTTTAGGGCAGCCTAGGCTTCATCCTGCTCCACCTCCCACTAGCTTTGTGATCTTGGGCAAGATATTAACCTCTCTGTGCCTCAGTTTTCTCACCTGTAAAATGAGGTGAATAGTAGTATGTATGTGCATATATACATATGTATATATATGTATGTATCTATATCACAGCGTTGTGAGGATTAAAGGAGTTTTATCTGTGTAAAGCTTAGACTGGTGCCTGGCATTTTCTCAGATTGGATACATGTTATTGTCATGTGTGTGGAAGGACTGGAGCCTTGGCCTCCGCTTCTGGAGGCAGACCCAGCCCCTGCTACCTCCTCTTTATGTTTGCCCCTTACTTTACCACGGGCGGTTACGGGCGGGTGTGGGCGGGTGCGTTGGAGAATCGGTAGGGTTGGAGGCGCGTCCATTGGGGCAGTCGCACAGGGTGGGGGTTGGGTAGTTCTCCCCATCCCCTCACAGGCAGGTGGGTCATCCTACCTCTACTCCAGCTCACACGCATTAGCTATATTTACACGACAAACATGGTGGGGTGGATTGGGGTATTCTGTGGGTTCCCTTCAGGCATCCATCACTAGGTGAGGGGGAGGGGCAGACAGGAGCCTCTGCAAGAGCCGTGGGAACCCTCAGGGGTGGGGGTGGCTGTGGCTAACCCCCAAGCTATCTGCCTTCCTGGGCCGTGCCCCGGAGTGCTGCACCCTGCTTGAGCTGCTACAGCCTTTCTCTGTTCTGCCCTGGGGGTTCCTCAGTGACCTTGTGATGTCTGCCTCGGGACTTCTCTTAACCTATGGCTCTGAACCCAACGACCTGCACCCTGAAAGTGGGAGTGGTCCCTACCCAGCTGCCTGCCCCACTCCCCACAACCCTCACTCTTAGCCAGCCACCTCTCCTCACTCCCACCCCGCAGCCCCAGGTACCCATGTCAAGCAGCTCAGTGAACAATTACGCACAGGCACTAGTTTTAATGTGTTACCCTCCCAGGGTAATTTTGAAAACAAAGTATCCCAAGAAAGCAATGTGTAGCCCCAGAGAATGATGCTCAGATGGCTCAAATAGTGGAATTTCAAGCACACTGACCAGCCACTGTGGGAGTTACCTTTGGGTGATGGGTAGAGGAGGTATGGATAGACTTCCCAGCACTCCTCACAAGCTGCCCAGAAGCCCTGACTTGGCCTGCATTCCACACCATCCCTATTTCAGCTGTTGTCAGCCTGAGGCCTCTAAAATGCCAGCTTTACACAGGAGTGGGAATTGGCCAGCATATCAAGGCGTGTGGCCAGGAGAGGGCTTGGGATGGTCGATGTCAGGTTGCAGACCTGTGTTTAGAGTGTGGCTTTCAGCTGCAGGAGATGTGAGGGGAGGACTCAGTTATGGCCTGGCTAATGTGGAGGCCAGAATCTAATGAGAGAGGGAGGACCTCTACCCTAGGTGTGGGCCTGGCCACCCATAGTGGGTACTTGGGATCACCTGCTACAGAAGTGGTTGTAAGCTGCCATCAAGTTGTCCCCTAACTCATGGTGACCCCATGCACAGTGGAACAACACACTGCCTGGTCCTGTGCCATCTCCATGATTAGTTGCAGATTGGACTGTTGTGATCCATAGGGTTTTCACTATCTGATTTTTGGAAGTAGATCACCAGGCCTTTCTTCCTAGCCTGTCTTAGTCTGCAGATTCCACTGAAGCCTCTTCAGCATCATAACAACACACGAGCCTCCACTGACAGACAGGTGGTGGCTTGCGCATGAGGTGCGATGGCCAGGAACTTAACCAGGTCTCCCTGCGTGGAAGGAGAGAATTCTACCACTGAAGCACTGCCCCCAAGCTGCAGAGGTACTTGCATGTAACCCCTCTTCACCTTCTTTTTCCTGCTGATGTTGTTACATCTTCCTCAAAGCACAAGCGCCTCCCCTGCTTCTCTCCTAGGAAGCACCAGCAGACCCTGCCTGATGACCTAATGAAGCCAGACCGATGCCACACTTCACCTTGTTCCTTTGCTGGATGCAGATTGAGGGGACTTCTAGCCAAAGGTCAGAGAGATGCCCTTAACCTAGCCAGGCCTCAGATTATTAATAGCTTATTTTAAAAAATCACTTTTATTATGGAAAAATTTCAAAACCAAAAGTAGAGAGACTTGAACTCCCACTGCCCAGCTTCAATAATTCTTTCATCCCTGCCCGCTTCCCCGTTTTCTGTAAGGTCATTTTTATGTCAGAGATTGAAGGGTTCAGGAAGCCACAGAGCAACATGGGTCAGGAGGATTTTGTGGCAAAGGCCCTCTATTTTCTCCAGGGCGGCCTTAGGTAATAAGTAACCAGTGCTGTAGGGTAAAAACATCACAAAGTTTAGTAAAGCAAAAAGTAAGTTTTATTGGGCATATAGTCAAAGAGGCAAAAGTGGGAAGTGGACAAGCATGCTGCCACAGTCATGCCTGCCTGAGTCTAACGAAATTACAGAGAAAGCAAAAGTGGGAAAACGGACAAGCATGCTGCTACAGCCATGTCTACCCGAGTCCAAAGAATATTACAGAATAGACAAGAAAGGGAAAACGGACAAGCATGCTGCTAGAGCCATGTTTGTCCGAGTCCAAGGAACATACAGAGTCATCAGTATATATTAACATTACAAGTGGACAAAACCATTGAAAGCTTCAACTTTTCACAGATTGGCTAGAAACTGTGATCCTACATTTTGAATTGTCTTTCTTAACAATTATTGGCACAGGTTTCAGTAATGACGGTCAGGAGAGTCTTCGTTGGTCCAACAAATTTTCTATTCACTAAATGCTAATAGAAGAAGATAAGAGTGGAAAGTCTTTTGTGTTCTGTTTGAATGGCTTATGTGACAGGTTCCCTAAAAGATATTTTCCAAGATTATTTTAGCTACTGTCTTTATACTTCAGGGCCCAGTTGATGTGTCCTCGTGAGCCCTTGTGAGCCCAGCTCCAGCTGGGTTACATTCTCTGTGCTCAAGGACAGGGAATACTGATTCCAATATTATTTTCTAAATCACCAGGCACTCTCCTCTTGGTTTCTTTGTGGGTGACGCTTCTGTCCTTGAACCAGCTCAAAGTGTGATCAGCATTGGACCCCTGTTTATTGAGGAGGTGCCTGTCCTGGAGAAGTGACAATTGATGGGGTGCTGCCCAGTGACAGCTTGCCCTCTTGTACCAGGGGCTTCCTCTAGGCTCTGACAGCCCTTCCAGCAGACAGAAATTTCCATGCTGGAGAAGCTTCAAACTGCAACATGACTCCTGCTCTTATCTCCTGGGAATGTAGTCACTCAGGCCTTAAGGTACCATGCGTTCCATGGACACGCTGTCACACAGCTGGTGGCCAAGAAACACCTCGACCTCCAGGGAAAGTAGTATCCAGGGTCCTTGACAATGATCCCAAGTGATAACTCCCCTGTGCTCACCTTACTGTTCTTTCCCCTTTAGCCCAGGGCCACGAAGCTCACATACGGGGCTGGGACATGGTCACCCCGAGCAGAGCATTCTGAGCATTCCTCACTTCTTGCTGTGGCAAGGGTTAATTAACAACAGCAATCATAATAATGGCTACCACTAACCACATACCCTCGCTGTGTGCCAGGCATTGTGCTAAGTGCTTTACATATATTAACTCATTTAACCAGCATCAACCTAATTTACAGCTGGCCTGTAAGACTGGGAGGGAGGAAAGACCAGGGGAGACGGACCCTGGGGCTCAGAGCTAGATGGTTTCTATGCCCATGACCCACAGCTGATTGGGTATCTGGAGCCCAATGCCCCATTTAAAGAGATTTTAACATCAGCATATCCCTGCCCAGTGTGCCAAGATCTACCACCTGATATAACTGTGTAACAGCATGCAATATATGATCAATGTATTCTCAGGGATGTGTAGCAATACGATTATACTCATTGTGTGTGTCCAGCTTAACGCCCTAATGTTGGGTAAGGTGGGGCAGGGGGCACGATCCTAAAATCTCAGGCCTCAGGAGGCCAGTTTGATTTAGTAGACATTATTTGTTAAAGGATTCCCCTGTCCTTGAAGACAGAAGGGAGGTGGAGAAGGGTGAAAGTGCCTCTTACCCTCCAGGACCTGTGAACTGTGAGGGCTGGGCCAAGTGA